GCATTCCTGTAGTTGTCTTTTAATTCTATGATAGCCTTTAAAACCAGAATTCTTTTCTGAATATATTTTGACCAGATAAAGCTGAAAAAAAAAAAAGGGGGAGGGGGGAAGTTGCAAATAAGGATAACTTAATTAACGTGCAAGTTCTATGAATGGAGAAGTGAGTAACAGAAGAGCTGAAAAACAGAATAATATGTCTGTGATACAAAGACAGACGTTAGGTTTGATATTTTAATGAAAAATAAATCTGCTTCCCTATTCTTTGCCGGCTGGCAAAAACGTAACGGGACTTTCAAACTACGATTGCAGAGTTCACTAGAACAGATGGACAAGAGACGCAGACGGCAATATTCTGCGTGCTTTAGCAAATTAAAAAGTTCCATCTATTTCAGCAAACCGATATGCACACGTGAATCTTGTAAACTACACATTGTTCACGATCATGTATATACCCTATCATACAAAGGGCTAGTATTGTACTTGAGTTGGACACCAAAGAGTAGACACTGATTTAAATATAGTGCTCAAGTCATCCACTCTCCTATTAATAAATTCATTTGTCTAGGAAAGCAGTAAAACAAGAAAGATACTTTGAAGAAGGAAAGTGATTTAATTTCACAGATACATGATATTACAATATGAGGATATTCTGTATTTCTCAACTAGCCACTCTATTTCACATGGAAATGATGCGAGATAACATGTGAAACACGTACTGTCAATATCAAGGCACTGGTTTAAATGCCTGAGTAAACACCACTTTATATTATCAAGTTCACTGGAAATATAAACAGACGTTTAGAAAAGTGAAAGAAAATACAAACTAGGATACTCATCTCCTAAACTATTTAAGAATTAAATTTAGACAAAAACTATGGAACATGCACAACTGTATAAATTTTAAATACTGAATACTGTTTTTCATCGTATAATTTTCAAATACTGTTTGTTTATGCTTCTTTTCACCTTCTAAAACAATTAGATATAATTAAACATAGAAAGAAGAAATTACTGAATGCAATTACCGCTTAGTGTAGAACATGATTAGTCTGCAGAGGACTATGATTATACCATGTTCTTTAATCTTGAGGCTTGCCCATGACTCATTTAAAAATAACCTACCAGTAATCAAGCTCTCTTACTGTAATTGGAACGCTTCCTAATTTTAACAATGGCTGAGCAATTAAAAACCACTGAAGAGATATTCCTGGGTTGAGACAGGAGGTCTTTATACACACACTTCTGCTGACTAGAAAGAGTACATGGCAGCACATGCTTATATTTCCTCGTCAACTGCTTCTCAACATGAATTTTGGACCGTTGCAAAATAAAGGACTGCACTACCTATCAGTATACAAAATAATAATTTCCTAATTGTATTTCCCCAAAAGAAGAACTACTACTATTAAAAGACTATCTTTGACAGATACATACTCTCCGCAGTCTCACTGCCACGCTCCGGTAGTGATCTTCATTCCTCTCTGCAGGGGCCACCTTCATAAAATCCAGGTAAGATTTGGAAATTCCTGGAATCAGGAAACATGCAATGGCCCACAGATTTTTTAAGGCAGTAGGCAGAAGCAAGTCCATCAAGATTAAATGATGACAACTCTGAACAATAAAGATAATAACGAGGATTAGATTTTTCTCATAAGTTATAACACAGCAAGAAAATTTTAAAATGTAAGTACCGAAGTTATTTCAGAAAATAACTGATGGACAAAAACAAGAAGAAAATTTTTAATGAACGCTCCAGACCTCTGCAGATTGAATATTTCATCCCAGCACTACTCTGGCAGATTATTACCACTTTGCCTCC